CCTCACGGACTCGCTCCTATTTTCTTTTCCATGACTATCGGTTTCCTGTATAATTCTGATACAGGGTACCTCAACTAGACCTCAAACTGATATAGGTGATTATTTAGACCCCTGCATTCTATCCCCATGAACCCCTGCATGACACCCGTATCCATTTCACTGTCGGCTTTCTTTTCCATCTCGTTCTCCATTATTGGACTAAGATTCCTAAACTCTATACACACCCTATAGAATCCCTAACCCCATATACCCCTATGTAGCCTCATATTCCCTAAATCAAAAAGCTACCAAGGATTCTAGCCAAAAAGACAGAGGCGGCTGGCAAACTCATGAGCGTCGAGGACGTGGCCATGGAACACTGGCAGGAGTACGGGCGTAACTACTACGCACGCTACGACTATGAAGGTGGGGCTAAGGGTCGAGGGTTTGGGGATGTGTTTAGGGTTTAGGGCTAAGGGTTTAGGGTTTAGGGTGTAGGCTGTAGAGTTTAGGGTTTAGGGTTGTGCATGTTCTTGGCTTACATGGGGCTCTTTATCCCGGCAAAGGTCTGGCAAGCACACATGCTGATAAGTTGAATGCCCAGCCGTGTGAACAAAATTGGATACGTACACACTTGATCAGGCCGTTTCCAGAACCACAAGAGCTAAAGCTCCATATGCAAGACTGCCATAACAAGTGCAAGGTTGTGTTGGAGATTATTATTGCCTTTGCAATAGCAATGACTAGCTACAGAGAAGCTCCCCCCAAATCCTGTTGTGATCAAACAGGCCCCCAACCGGCTAAACCTAAAATGTGTCCAACATTTACGCCGTTTCCATGTCAGTTTTCATTTTTTCCCATTTAATTCCCCTTTCTTCCCTAAACCCTAAACCCTAAGCCTGAACCCCTAAACCCTCAACCCTAACTCCTAAACCCCTTCAGGTGTCGACAAGGCCAAGGCAGAGGAGATGTTTGCCGCCATGGAGGCTAAGACCGGGACGCTTGTGGGTCAGGAGTTGGGTGGGATGAAGAGCCTCTGCTACGTTGAGGGTTTAGGGTTAAGGGTTCAAAGTTCAGGGTTCAGGGTTGAGCGTTTAGGGTTTAAGATCAAAGTTTTGGGTTGAGCGTTTAGAGTTTAAAGTTCATTGTTTAGGGTTCAGGGTCATTCAGATAGGGGCCCACATAGATCTGAGGATCCTTTTGTCATGAACAGTGAGGTCCTTTGTAGGGTAATTGTGCAGCCCTATGAAGAGCCAGCCTTCAGATGGCCGCCGACACAGGAAGACGGAGGGTTCCGGAAATTAATAATAAAGGGTCCCTTTCCCTACATGGATGGTATAATGGCTCTGTTTGCACAATTGTTATGCTTTTGGTTGGCATTCTGGGCTGGTACTCCGAAGTGCTTGTTTGTTCTCGATTTTTCATGTCAGTTTTTCAGGATGAAGGCTATTTTGAATTGAGGGGTTTTAGGTCTTAGAGATTCGTTTTTTTTGGCGGTGCCTGCACCCACCAGAACTCGGGAGCGTATTCTGGGTCTGGTATCATGGTCAGAACCCTCCAGGCAAACCCTGAGTTCAGTCTACATCCCTGAACTCTAAACTGGGTTGCTGTTAAGGAACTTAAATTAAGTTACCATAGTGGGTATATGTAGTAAATAATAGGGTTTCCCCAATATAGTAACTTAATTTAAGTTGCTTAACAGCAACCCAGTGAACCTCATCCCAAGGATCAAGATCAACGACATGTTCGAGTACACGGACCCTGTGGATGGCAGCGTTTCCAAGAAGCAGGGCCTCCGGTTCATCTTCGAAGACAACTCCCGAATCGTCTTCCGGCTGTCAGGTGGGCCGCATTCCCGAAAGGGCTTGAACCAAAACCCTGAACTCTCTAAATCCTGAACCGTAAAGCCTAAAACCTAAACCGTACGAGCTAAAACCTAGATCCCTACACCTTGAAGCCTTGACTCTGGAGCTTAAATGCTAAAGTCCCTCCAAAGGGATCGCTAGTTCTCACCACCCGCACCCTTTTTGCACAGGTACCGGCGTTGCTGGCGCCACGGTGCGGCTATACCTGGACCACTGGGCTTGACTTGGGGTTTAAGGCTCAGGCAACCCTCAACCTAGCTTAAACTCTAAGCCGCTTAGCGTTTCGGGTCCGGGGTGCAGAGTTTAGGGTGAAGGGTTTTGCGTTTGTCATCTCGCAAATGTGATAGCTTCTCAAAAGTAACCCCTAAACAATTTGGGAGGGATCCTAGGAATCCCTGATCATCCCAATGTATTCCTACTGTAAGGTCTGGGGTTTAGGGCTAGGGTCTCCAATGCAGCCCCATCTGTTGGTCTACCGATGTCGTCGGCAACACCGGAATTCGCTTTTTGCAGTTGCCAGCTTGGAGACATGATTCTGACTGAGCCCTGAGCTCCAAAATCTAGACGTTGCAGATAAAATGAATGAAGAACTGGAATATACAGAGTCAGAGGTATGGGGTCTACCATGCGGATCCCTTATTCGGTAAACCCTCAACTCCGAAATAGACTCAACACTGGCTGATGTTCCTTCCCAAAATCACGCAAGGAGAAGCCAAGCAGGATGAAACTCCAGTGATTCCCAGGTGATAACCCATGGCCCTACAGTACTTTTTCTAGAAAGACCTACTTATTTCGTAGTTCAATCCCTGCAACATAGGCAGGCGCTTTTTAGTTTTATATCACCACATATACCACCCAACCACCTAAAACAGTACCCTATAGCGGGCCCACGAGTGTTGGTAGTATACGCGCAGAAGCCTACTAACTCCTAACACCGGGCCTGAACTAATCCTCATGTTGTGTGGAGGAGAAGTACGAGCCACCAAGTGGTAACCTGACCATGCACCAATTCGAGGCAGGAGGGTTGTGCTGGTTGGGGTTATGGATTTGCCAGCGCTTGGGCTTAGAAGAACAGAACAGAAGCAAACTTACCTAAACCCTAAACCCTAAACCCTAAACCCTAAACCCTAAACCCTAAACCCTAAACCCTATTCATCCCCTGCAGTAGGTGGTGAAACCCTTGGCGGCTATTGCGCTGGAGCTCTCGCAGTTGCAGGCCTTCACCGGGCGCACCATCCTCAGCCTCTCTTTCAAGGGGTTTAGGGTATAGGGTGCAGGGTTTTTGGGGTTATACATGGCTATGTGAAGGGTGTATGGGGAAAAATAGGGTTTCCTTTAAAAGGGTTCTAGGGTACTGCAACGATATTCAAGGGTATATAGGGAGACATATGTATATACGTGTACATATGTATATGGTGTATATATGTAAATATAGTGTTGGGGTTTGGGTTTTGGGCTTGTAGTCGGCGCCCCGACCCCCCCCCCAAAGCTAAATGACACCCAGTCCAGCCTCATATCATAGCAAGTTGAATATTGCAATTGAGATTTTGGATTTTGTGTTTAGGGGTTGGTTTTAGGTCTTAGAGTTTTAGGGTCAAGTGTTTGGAGCTTGGGATTTCAGGTTTAGCGCTGTGTACATAAAATTAACGTACAGTTTCTTTTTGGTTCTATCATGGTCTAATCTTCCTTGGATCGGCCAGCCAAAAAATCACGCCGCTGCTGGGGCTTGGGGGTACATGGTATATGTCTAGGTCCCTCAAACCGACTTCAACATGACATTGGAAACTACATTCCAGAATCCCTATAAAATCAGCTTGCATCTCATTATCCGTTCTCTTTTCCATTTGATTATCCAGTATTTGGGGTCACATCCCACATGCCCATTCGCAGTCACTAGTTCTTGCCGTGAGGTCCTGAACCCAGAGTTGGGAGTTGATATCCCTGCTCCCACAAACCCTACTCACTAAAACCCTGAGAACCCTTCCCTGAACCCTAGACCCTAAATCCTTAGCCCCTCCGTCTTGAAATTCAAGCTTCCAGGTGAGAGCCCCACCGTGATCACCTGAGTCAGAAGACTACGCAACCGCTTGGCCTATCTTCTGCCAGATGTTTGAATGTCGGCTGCATGGGGATCAAGAGGGAGCAAAGCAAAACCTTAAACCCCCGAACCCTAAACCCGAAATCCAAAACCTTCAACTGCGTACTATGGGCAGCTTTCGCCCCGCTTCTTCCGCGGGACCTTGTTTGAGACATAACATGAATTTTGCAAGCAATCGGCCACGGTTGCGATTTGTTTTGCTTTTCACGCTCCTAGGATGGTTAATGCCTTGTCATGTCCGCAGATGCGGAAGGGCAAGACATGCGTATGTGCCAATTTGGGAATCAATGTCTGTTTGATTTTCGAGGCAAGTCCTCCAGGAGAAGCAGGGGACTCAATTTCTTACTATGTTAGTAGGGAATAAGGGAGTATATTATATAAGGATTATATAGGGATTGTATTCCTTTATTCCCTACTAAGAACCGGAAAGATTTTGGCACATGCTCAGATGGTGAAAGACTTTCTGCAGAGGCCCAACAAGCCAGTAAAAGATGCTCGGTTGGCTCATCTGACTTCCATTGCTTGGTGGACATGGCAAACGCTCAGCATTGAAGTCCCGATGTACTCCCGTTATCATAGAGTGATACGTAGGTCCATAATGTACAGCACTCCACACGTGATCGATAACCCATAACTCTAAGAATTGACTGAATGCCTTTTTCGACCGACAGCGCTACTTCAATCCATAATGTCAAGGCACGACCAAAGATGGATCCCAGATTTTCAGACTCTCGTCATCCCGACAGCCCAACCCCTTGATCCTTGAACACTAGCTACACATCATTGGAATCGGATCCGCAATCCCTTCCCTGACATGTAACGCACCTCCCACGTCGCCAGCCCCTTCTTTTGGGACACTGCCCTAACTACTTTTTGAGGTTTCAGGTCCTTCTGCATGCCCCAAAAAGTTTCGTCCTCATTTCCAGCCACCGAAGGCAACAGTTGTTGTAGAGATTCCCCAAACCCTTCATATGAATATTAAACCCCTAACCACCCTTAGCATTGAACATGTCCCGCAATATATGAGGTCTCTTATGGGTAACACGCCTTCCTGTCAGGCAGGCAATGTATTGGATTTGGACCTTGATCCGCTCCAGAAGGACATCAAGGCACCGGGGCAAGAGAGACCAATAGGAATCCCCTTCTTTCCAGTGTCTAGAGCTTAGGGACCTCCACCCCGCAATTACGACAATTCCTATAATTTCTCAATCTTCTATATGTTGGGAAGATTCATACTTAGGAAAGTGGGGGGGTGCGATTCCGAGGAGGGAGGATTGCCCTAGAAGCCTGAATAAGTACCAGTGTTACTCTTTTAATCCTACAATATAGGACACCTCAAACCTTTTTCCAACTGTTAGGCGCCTGTAATTCGCAGCTACAGCTAGGCCTGAAGTACGCTACACTTACGGAGTCGTGGAGGCAGAGTAGAGCACAGTACGAGGTTATGCATGGTTTGGAGGCCCGAAATGCAAGCATGAATAGGCCCTCGATCCTTCGGTTTGTGGACCAGTTTATGGAGGCTTAAATGGGTCCTCAACCCCTAAACCCCACACCCTAAACCACCCAAAATCTGAAAGCACCCTCAAAGCAGAACCTCAAGCCCCAAAGCTCCCTGAGCTTTAGATTTAAAGCCTGAGGCTCAATGAGTAGTGGTATTTGTGGGTAGAGTATAGTTTTCAATGTAGAGTAGGATGATATCTTGCTTCTCAATTACGTACATACTGGTTTATTGAGAGAAGATCATCGTCTGACGTAGTTCATAGGCAAAACCTGCTACTCAGGTGGCTCGATTCTGGGACTCGGAGATCCAAAAGGAAGGCGGGGCAAGTCAGAGTTGAAAGGTTTTAGGGTTTAGGGTTTAGGGTCTGGTCTTGTACATACCATCTTCAAAGCGGCAAGAGACTTAGCAAAGGGGACTCCGTATAGGGGACGCCCTCGTGTGATGATGTTGCCAAGGCACTATAAGACATCATGCTCACCCAAAAGAAGCACCTTCCAAGATCTTCCAAGAAATTGAGGAATCTGGTGGCGCTTCGGGAATACTGATGGTTTTCTCTGTTGTGGCATGAAGGACCCGATTCACAACTTTTTTCAGGGGGCGTCGAAAGTACCACCCAGGAGAGGAGGCCGTAAACCGGACCCCTAAACACCAAACCCCTACACCCCAAACCCTAAACCCTAAACCTTAGACCCCTAGAACCTAAACCCTAACCCCCTAAACCCTAAACCATATTCGAAACCCCTAAACCCTAACCCCCTAAACCCTAAACCCCTAAACCCTAAACTCTAACCCCTGAGCCCGCCCAGGTCTGATTTGGACACGGCTGTGGCAGCCACCCTACAAGGTGGGGGTGGCCCAGGTCACAGGAAAAGGAAGGAAGAATGTTTAGGGTTAAGGGTTTAGGTTTTGGGGTTTACAGAAATTGTAGAGGGTTCAGGTCCTGAGTTTTGGGTGAGTTTTGGGCAGAGTTTTGTGTTTTGATTTTGAGCCTCTACAGTTTGTATTTATTACTAGCTTGAGCGTTCAAGTTCAGGCATTAGGATTTAGGGTGGATGTAGGGTTCGGGATATTACCCCCATAGTGGAGAAGCACATAGAAAAGATGACGGAACATTAGATTTTGGTGCTAGGGGCTAGGGATAGATGACATGGTGTTTTCTAACTGGCTTTGGGGAGTTTTACTGAGGGTTCCTTTGCAACTTTGGTGAGTGTTTAGGCTTTGTTCAGGGCTCATTTCGGAAAGGGTGTAGTGGGGAGGAGTGTAGAAAAGGATCCCAGTATTTGAATACCTTGGATGAGGTCATCAGATCGGGGAACATTATTACCATTATTGCCATTGTTACTATTGAATCTTATTACTTTTAACATTTTGCAACTTTGGCCAGGATCTGGCATCTTAATGCATGTGACATGCCCATATGGATGTGCAGCACAAGAACGTCGAAACCCTACACGTTTAATGTAGGGGCCAATACAGTATGACTACCAATATCATGATCCTGTATCCCTTTCATAGATACGGTGTAGAGTGCCTCAAATAGACCTCCAAATAAACTTGGGAAGTATTTGCGCGCCTAAAGCAGCCGATCGATGAAGATACCATGATAAGGCAGACTCCGTCCCAACGCTGTTGGACCACTTCGACGAGGCCGGAATATGGGAGCAAGCTGGGGCTCAAGTATAGTCTCCCTTAAGTAGATAGAATATGCGGTATATGGGGATCTTATTATAAGATACCTCAAGCCATATTCTATCTACTTGAGGGGGACTATAGCTCAAAGCAACAAGAAGGAAAGGACCTCCGTGTTCAGCTCAGGCCTTGGAAGTAAGGATCTGGATGCCATGAGTGAGGCCCTTCAAAGCTGACAAAGGAGTACACATGAGCCATAATCTAAACTCCTTTAAGCGGGTTATGTAGGGGAGTATATAGGGGACTACTATAGGGGGTATTAAGGGGGATACTAGGAGTTTAGACTATGGCTCACATGGGCTGTGCCTTAGACAAGCCCCGACTCATCCGAGATGTACGTGTACCTGTCAACGCAGCACCCAGAAGAAATCCATGAACGCTGCAGCCGCCATTCGGAGATTGGAGTTATCAACAGGTTTAGTTGCCTTGTCAGCTGGGCTGCTTCGCGCGGCATTTGGGAATATTCCCAGAATGGTTTATCAGCTTTGCTTTCCGACAGGTCTACGTCTGGGTATCGGCGCTGCAGAACAGCGCGAAGCGCTGTGAGACGACGAAGCACGCTGCGAAGCTCGTGAAGGGACTTCTGCCTTCTGGCGACCTGGAGAGATGCCGAACCCAGGTGGCACTTTGGGTTTAGGGTTGGGGTTTCGGGTTTAGGGTTTGGGTTCCCTTATTGTTCTATGGGAGTTCAGAGTTTACTTCCCGATTTGCCTGCATAAGGGCACTTATTCATACATGACTTTGGGAACCCTTAGAGCACAACCAAGGCACCTTCGTGCGGGCCATCAAGCTGGTGCTTCAGGGATTGGATGAATCAATGGACGAGCTGCACAGTCTCCTGCAAGAAGATAACCAGAAGGGAGGTCCCGTGGCGTTTATGTCCTCTCAGACCCTTGATCCAATGTTTGCTGGCTTAGGGTCCTAGGTTTGTGGTTACGGCATAAAGCTTTGTGTTTAGGCTCCGGGATGTTTAGTAGGCTTGGTTAGGGATGTTCAGGGTTGCTTAGGGATGCTTAGCGTATTTTTGGAATGCTTATTGTTTTGTAGGGTTGCTTAGGGATAGTTCATTTTTTTCGGGCTTGGACAATCACAGTCTACCACCTTGGAGTGCCCGAAGGCATCTCAGAATCCTGTAATCATGCTTACGTAGGCTTCACATGAGCCAGAATCTAAACTCCTTAAAGGGGGGTTCTAGAAAGGATAACATAGGGGACTACTATAGGGATATTAAGGGGGATACTATAGGACTTTAGACTATGGCTTACGTGAGCCTCTACATAAGCCCTACTTACAGAGTAAATCGTTGAAAAATGTCTTTTTGATCAAGTGCCGGAATAGATATTTCCAAATCAGGGCTCCCCTAGATTGTTTGAATTGAAACTTCCCTGCATCTAAGGGCCCCTACAAAGTACGTCAAGTTCTTGGAAGCTTCCATATGGGATCCAGGAACCCCTGCAGCCCGTGAATTCCCCAAACAAGCCCTGCACTTTGGGCCCTAGCTCTGAATCCTCCTCCATAACCTTAAAACCCTCAACCCGAAACCCTAAACCCTGAACCCTAAATGAATGGATCCAGGAACCTATGCAACTTGCTCCAGGGGGAGGCTACGCCCTCTTCCACCAAAGCCCGCTTCTCCCTACTGGATGGCGTCAACCTCCTCGACCAGGAACCTAAGGCTATGCCTCGCACTTTGTTTTTTTTCATAATTTTGTGTTGTTTCGTGACGGAACTTCGTCTTGCCTTCATGAAGATTTTCGAGCAGTCCTACTGCAGCTCACAGCGTGTGTTGCTGCACTTGCTGCTTCTGCTGTTGCCGCTGCCGGTGCTGCCGCTGCAGACAACAACACTCCACAGCCTCCGCCTTCACCACTGCCATCGCCAGGACCACCAGCACAACCACCACCCTTCCAGCACTATCAAATTCATTTTTTCAGAGGCACCGCCAAACCCCTCAACTCTAAACGCTTAATCCATGGGTACTTCTCACTTATAACCATAACCATGTCTATACTTGTAAAACTTCCCCATGACTATACTTCTAACCCAGGTATAACTTCACTGATGCCTGCTTATGGTTCCATGTTTGTTTTTTAATGCTTATGCAACTTACTTGTAAATTTCCTCTCAGCCCAGTTGAACCCCTAAACCCCAAACGTAGTTAGAAGCCTACTAGGAGACCCGAAACCCTAAAACCTAAACCTAAACCCTAAACCCTGAACCCTGAACCCTAAACCCTAATGACAGCCCAGGATCTGCAAGGCGCCAAGTGCCCACCCGAAGTCGCAGCCGGCGAGGCTGTGAAATGGAGCCTTGCAAAGGGGGCTTAGGGTTTAGGAGATGAGGGGTTTAGGGTTTATGGTTTTAGGGTTTAGGGGTTCAGGGTTTATAGTCCCCATTAAGTAGATAGAATATAGTGTATAGTGGGATAATGGAAAAGAAAATGGACGTTACTATTTAGGGTTTAGGGTTTAGGGCTTAGGTTAATCCCCCTTAAGTAGATAGAATACGGCTTCCGGTATATTATAATAAGATCCGCATGTACCTCATATTCTATCTACTTAAGGGGGACTATGGGCGGTGGGTCGCCTTTTGACCCCATACAACCCAGAGCAATATAGTGTTTTGCCTGCAGCAACCAGCAAGTTGAAACTGAAAAATGGGAACAGGAGTGGGCGGTGTGGTGGTACTGAAGAGTGGTTGTAACTAAACCTCCAATGGCCCCATCAACTTGTGGGATGTTATGCTCCATTAGGATTTAGGGTTTAGGGATCCTTTGAGCCTAAACATAAACCTGGCGTACATGGAGCCTATACCTTCTTATTCAATAGGAGCTTGGAAATGGGTTCGATTCTTGAAGCGTTATGCCCATACAGCCTAAACCTTAAGTGCATAATCCGCACATAATCCATAGATGAACTCAAAACAATCCAAAGCCCCTTGAAACGATCAATCCTCAGTCCTTCCAAGCCTGAGCCCTAAGCCCTTAAAGCCCTTCAGCCCTCAACCCTAAAACCGGAACCCTAAGCCCTTGAAACCCGTAAGCACCCTAAACCCTAAACCCCGAAACCCTAACCCAAAGCCCTCAACCCCAAACCCAGGAGCACGAAGGCGCTGCGGGTGACCCTCCAGCGCATCGGAGGGCTGATCTCTGCGGGTTCGGCCTTAGCCGCCCGCGCTTCTGGGCTCCATATTGCCGAGTTTGGCAGCTAGGATTTAGGGTTTAGACTTTAGGGTATAAGATTTAGAGTAATGGTTTAGGGTATAGGTTGTATAAGGTCAAGGCTAATAGGGTTTTGAGTCTACGGTTGAGGGCATAAGGTGAAGGGCGTGAATAAGCTTTAGGTCTTTGCGCTGCTACGGCAATGTTCCGGCGGGGGATGGGTAGGTGAGCTAGGCGGTGCAGCACTTGAGCCATGGTCTAAACTCCTTTAAGGGAGTTTTAAGCGGAAGTTTCGGGGCACTATCATAGGGGCTATGAAGGGGGATACCAGAAGTCTAGACTATAGCTCCCGTGGACTTCCGTGAGAACTTGCTCTTGATTAGGGTTGAGGCTACTCCAGGGGAACCTAGGGCAGTGCGGGATCGCATACCGGCCAAACGCTGGAACGTGGAATGAGGATGTTTTGCGCTACTTTTCAATTTCTAGGGGTATGCTGACGTGCCTACTTTATGGCTTCTACGGTATATCAAGCTTACAAGTGCATAACTGGCTTGGAAAGAGAGTAGGTCATAAGTACTCACGGACCTCCAACTATTCCCAAACACATCCTGAGCTCGTTTTCTACGGCCTGGAGGTTTTCAGGTTTAGCAAGCCTTCTGAAGAGCATGGTAAAACTTGTGCGATGATACCAGTCGTAAGCATATTCTCAGTATGAAGCAGTGACTAACTACAGTGACATGTCAGCAGTCTTGCTACTCTGACCTTGTGCTAGGTCTGATTGTTTTGACGTCGCTTTTATTGCTATATTTGTAAGTAGTCATCCTCTAAATACCACAAGGAGTACTGCTGTTGTTATTGTTGCAGTTACTGAAGAAAATACTTCTTCGTGTGCATATTCACATGGGGCTTTCTACAGAGAAGAAGTACCCATTGCGGAGCCCAGGGAAACCTATGTCTTGTTAGCAGATCACAAGGGGATCCGTTCACGATCGCGATTTTCTAGGGATAGTGGTGAGACACTCCGATGCAGAGATTCCGATGTCGCCATAGCTCCAACTATCATGCCTACCAGGCTTTGATGATTTGTGTTATCATTTTCAGTCAGTCTGTCTTATTCATGATGCACATACTCTTAACATGCTGGCAGGGGGACAGGTATCATTAATCTCACAGCTGTTCTCAAAATCCATACTGCAAGCCCCAACCCTAACCCTTAATAAGTCCTCCAAGCCAAGTTGACCCTAAAACCGTTACCTCAAAAGCACCTCGCCCTACATCCTACAGCCCTCAACCCTAAACCTAATCCCACCCAAAATCCGCCAACCTGCAAAACCCCAGGATTGGCGCGCTCACGCCAGGACCCAGCCAGGAGCCCATGTCACAGCTATGGACGACCTGGATGTTCCCCTGACGGTTCCTTTGGGCAAATTACAGCGACCTCACCCGACCTTGCCTAATGGTGGTTTATGTAGAAGATAGACCCGGTGTGGTTGCTTGTCTCAGGTTCCTCGGCTGCGACAGCGACTGAAGAAGTCTCTGACCAGCAAGTTTTAAGTGTCCTGAGATTGGGGAGGGGGGCGTGCCCTTGGAGAGAGAACTATTTCTTTTCATCTACAAAAATCCTGGTGCTCATTAGGGAGCGCGGGGCTGGATTATAGAGAACAAAGGGGTTTATAGGGACTTCTACAGGAATGCATCCCGCATTCCCCACGAAGCATGCCGCATGTCTTGCATATTGCCCACATGCAGTAACATATGCATAATACATGTATCATGATCAACATAAAGCCCCAGAGACGCTCTTTACTGCGGAATTCAAGCCTTGGGTACTGCCTCCCATGCAGATACAGTTGCATAATACGTAGGATCTGATTATAAACCCTAAGCTCTAAACACCCTAAACCCTAAACCCCAAACCCTAAACCCTAAACCCTACACCCTAAGTGAGGGCAGTAACCAAGGAATTTGGCTAACCACAGGCATATCCTCCTTGTCACGGTCCTCCCTCCTGCTGTACTGTCCTTAGGAATTCTTTTTAATTTTCATTATAGTATAACCCTAAGCAAACATTAGAAATATTAGTTGTATTATAGGTCTAAGGAAACTACAGCCTGTCCATTTCATGAAGGCAGGCCGTGGGGGCCTGGCCTTCTCCGTTCCCATCGCTTTCTCAAGAACTTGCTGGTGTTTGAAGGAGAGTGGATCCTCAAGCCTAACCTAGTACAATCCTCATATGAGCAGGGTTTGTTTTAGATATGTAAGGGCTATGATGGAAGTGAAACTGCAAGAGTGCTCGCGTAGCCTCTTGCCTGAGGGCGTAGTCGTGGCGTAGTTTCGCGTAGGCATCTATAATAGTGTCATCCGCGTAGTCTTCGTAGTTGTTATGTTTTGTGAGCAAGAAGAGGTTCGTGCTGCATAGAACTGTCAATAGCCCAGGAATGCCGCGTAGTCCACGTAGGCAGCACGATAGCAAGAGTGTGTTTGCGTAGTCTGTTCTGCAGGGAAAGCAGCAATCCGCGTAGTTCGCGTAGGCAACTCTCTTAGTATACAGACTTTGACCTTAAAAAAAACAATGCTCATATAACCCCCAATATTATTTACCTATATCTATAGAATCCCGAAATGTCCCTGTCCCACTTGGCCAGAAACACCAGCAAGACAAAAACCTGGGGAGGCGTGGTCAGATGCATCCGTGCCAAAATCAGCGTCCGGTTCTGTGCTGTCTATATCGCAGGTGAGTTGTAAACTCCAGAAACTGGGTGCTAAACCTCAACCCTAAACCCTAAATAGTAGTTCCCATTTTCTTTTCCATTATCCCAATATCCCACTTATATACCCCTATATAGTCCCTATATACCCCTATATAATCCCTATTTACCCCTGTATACCCAAAAATAAACCCTTGTAATTTGGAGATGCTCACAGGGAACTCAGAGGCTCAAGAGCCCTGAGGTGAGGTCCAATCCTGCTTTCTGTATAGGATACGCTAAGCTGAAAGACTCTCTAAACCCGAAATCCCAAACCCAAGGGGTTAGATTATACGTGCCTGGCGGCCTATCCAATTGCTGATTTTATGGTCCTACATTTATTTATGTAAGTATGATATAGGGGATAAAGACTGCACCATCACACGGAAAACTTAGCTTCTACATCCTGTCCACCCAGTTTCCATTTCGTTTCCAGCTTTCTTTGCCATCTGTTTGTCCACTTTTCTAAAAGTACAAATTCTAAACTCCAAGGGTTTGTAGGGATCCCACCACCCTACAGTCTGAAGGCTTAGGTCATCTTTGCAAGGCCCAGTAGTTGATCTATCTCCGACGATCTGAACCCAATCAATCGGGAGAGCTTTTTGGTCTGGAAAATCATGATGGGTTTAGGGTTTAGGGGTTTAGGGTTTAGGGTTTGGGGTTTAGGGTCAATAAAGGGTTTAGGATGAGATCGTGAGGAGAAGACGACAGAGACGGAGACTCCACAATCAAGAGTTTGGGAGGCGGTAGTGCGGCAAGACCAGAACTTGGCCGACTGAAATCCAACGTGTTCACCCTAATTCCAGCACCTCAAGCTCTTCATTTTCAGGGACCACAACCTGCGCAGCATTCTGCCTCAGCGAAGCGACCGCACAACTGCCTGAAGCCTCACGTGCAAAAAGACCATCAACATCTGTCTAGAAATACTTGGGTTCGACAAATAATCTGATACAGTCTGGCTCAACAAGTGGGTTATGAGTCAGGAAACTTTGCAGGGCATTCCGCGTTTTTTTGCGCATGGTCATCCAAGCTCAGCACGAGTGTGCCATGGATGTTGTCACATCTAGCCTGACTGTTGCGAACATGTCGTTTGGTCGCGGTGATATGACACTGCAGCGGATGGTATGCACTGCGCCTCAGATGACAGCCAATGTGTTTGCGCGCAGGTAGCTTGGCGTAGCCAGCAAATGCTGCCCTGATTGAGTTGAAAACCTTTAGCCATATCAGGGGCTACTAATGGGGTTTACAAAGGCTCGTTACGGCGTATTAGGCATTACTACTGGGGGGAGTTGCATATTGTTGAGGGGCTCAGGGTAGTTCCATGACTTGATTGCCCCTAAACCTGAAACTCCTCTGGGTTGCTGTTAAGGAA